TCTAGCTGAAGCTCTTCTTTTGTTAATGTTAAAGCTTTTCTGGGTGTAATCTTTGGTTGGCTTTTGAATCTTGTTGGTTTTTTTGGTTATTAGCTTGGGCAAATGGCTTCAGATCCAAAGGTTCACACTTTTGAAGAGGTTGCCAAGCACAACCTAACCAAAGACTGTTGGTTGATTATCTCTGGAAAGGTAAGATTTTTCTGTACTTTTTTCAATTTGATTCCTTCAGTATAGGGTTGCTTAAAAAATTTTGGAATTTGGGTATTTTATCTCTTGAATTTGCCTGTTGGGTGTGAAATGAAGGTGAGGTTGTAATGTGTGGGATATGTCTAATACACAACGTGGGGCACGGGGTTCATCATTTTTCTTCGTCTTTGTGGTTCTTTGTGGGTTACTTTTCAAAAAAGGTGACTGGAAAGGAAGGGAAAGTAAAAGGGGGGGGGGGGGTTTGAAAATTCCATGGTATGTGGTATTTGACCTTTAAATGTTATCTGGTCAAAGTGTCAGTATTTTTAGTTTTACTTTTCAGATCTTGATGCAAATTGTGCCCTTTATGCAAGCTCCACGATATTACACAAAAGAATTCCATTATCAGAAAAAGTGATTCCTGGTGGAAAATCAGGGAGATTTTGAATTGTAGATTAGTTGAGTCTTTTGACGAAATTGTAGTGCATATGAATTCACATTTGTCTTTCAAAAGTTTTTTGTTTGGTAAAACGTCAATCATGTGTGATCTAGAACTGATGCTTGCATGCTTCACGTATTGTGTAAATGAGCTGAAAGCTTCTCAGTGTTCATGCCTTCTGGGATTGATTCATTAGGCAAGCTTCATGATGTGTCATGTATGCATTAGTTACTTATGGTGCATGTTACGTCAAAGAATCCCTAGTTAAGATAAACTAGCAGGGAGGTTTCAGTTCCTCATATTCTTCAATTTAGAATAGTTTTACTGAGAAATGTTCTCGTTTACCAGGTGTATGATGTAACCCCATTCATGGATGATCATCCTGGAGGTGATGAAGTTCTACTATCAGCAACTGGTAAGGTTTATAATTAGTTCATTGCACATATTGTGGTGCTTGTCACTTGTTCTACTGAAATTTGATGCCATTGTGATCTTCAGGGAAAGACGCAACCAATGATTTTGAGGATGTGGGTCACAGTGATGCAGCAAGAGAGATGATGGACAAATATTACATTGGTGAGATAGATGCATCTACTGTTCCTGCTAAACGGACTTATATTCCACCCCAGCAAGCCCATTATAATCCTGACAAGACCTCCCAGTTCATCATCAAGATCCTACAATTTCTGGTACCTCTCTTGATTTTGGCATTGGCCATCACTGTCCGGAACTACACAAAGAAAGAGTAGCTCATTAATACACAACTCCGTACCATATTTTGAGGGATTAATTGATCATATGGTCAGATAGTTGAAGGGCAACCCTCACTATGTTTGTTTGATTTCCGTTTGGTTTTATGTGTCAACATCCAATAGCAGCTCATAAAATGATTCATGAAAGACAATAGTGTCAGTAAACTATTCAAAACGACTGCGGATTGTTTAATTTTGTTCGAAATTATAAAGCCCTTCATTTTCTTCTATTCGTTTCTTTTTGGCTAAAATATGTGTTTAGCTCTTTACCTTAATAAATTAGATGTTTTTAGTTTTTTATCTTATATTATGAATTTTTTATTTTTTAAATTCAAAAGTTTGAAGATTTTAGTCTTGAAATTATTGAAATTTGTCAACTTTCTATTAAAGTGAGAATAAAATATTTATGAAATTAATTTTTAAAAATTAAAAATATAACAATTTAGTTTTAAAAGTTTAAAAATTATAAAAATTAGTAAATTAAAAATAATAAGTGGATGATTTTGTTATCTACATGAGAATAATATTAAATATCTGTAATTAAATTGAGCAATTAGGTCAATTTGAAGAAAGGATTCTAATTGGAATTTAAAAAAAAATTTAATTGAGTTAGACAAAAAATTCAAAAGATTAAAAGAATACAATCAAATTTCTCTCTTTAGGTTGAGTTAATCATTTATTGGATTATAAATATCTAATACTATTTTTATGTACGTAACAAAATCATCTATTAATTATTTTTAATTTATTAATTTTTTTAATTTAAAAATTTTAAAACTAAATTGTTATATTTTTATTCTTTGAAGAATAATCTCATAAATATTTTATTTTTACTTTAATGGAGAGTTAATTGTTTTATTAGTTTTGGGTTAAAATCTTTGAACTTTTAAATTCATTACAAATTTCATAGTATAAAGTAAAAAGTTAAAAACATCAAACTTATTAAGATAAGGGACTGAATGCATATTTTAGCCTTTCATTTTTATCTTCGTTTCCTCTAGTTGAATGGTATTGCTCTTGGCAGTTAGGTTGTGACATATTGTTTCTATTTTTTTCTATTTCTATTATAAAATACTCAGCTATAGCTACAGTGTTAAAAGTTAAAATGAAAAAGAAAATATTAATTTATCTTGAAATTGTTAAAACGATCATGGGCTGCTGCTGTTGTTCACACTGATTTTCTGCAGCCTCTTTCCTCAATCTCATGTGGGGGAATACAAAGAGTTACGACCCCCATTTCAAGACTAGTGATAGATGTCCCATCCCATGTGCCAAAAAGTGGCACAACACAATGCAGGTTCCTACCTCACAGTGACCAGCAACAAAAATGGGAAATTTGACTGGCGGTCATAGGAAACGAACCATGTCAGAACCAAGGCTGAAGAAACAACTGAAGCACATAAGAATTAGTGGATTGATTGCAATGATTTTGTTCAGCAATCAGAAGATGTCTCGATCTTGTCATGAAGAGTAACCACCAAATCATGTGCATCATCCAGGAGTTTCCATACATCAAGATGTCCTGCCATACTATTGCACTCCCTTAAGATCTCATCCATGCTGCTATACTTCTGTATGATCAATTTCCTCTTCTGTAAGACTGATGCTGCAATTGCATACAGCAACAGATCATCTGTTGGTGGGGCTCGCTGCCTTATCTTGCACCATGCAGAATTCCCAATCCCAGCTCTAATTGCTGCTTGATCAGCCCACATTACCTCCCATAGGCAAAGTGTCTGTTCAAATGACAATTCCCTCCTGAACATCACGACAACCATCCTGTATACAAAGAAGCAATCCTCAGCCTGCAGCTCCTCCAAGTGCCTGTAGAGGTGAGAATCCTTGATTTTGATTATCTTTGAAACGATATTCAGTTGCCTTCTGATTCCTACCTCATCAAGCCTAAAATTATGCCTAGCTTTCTTCATAAAGCCTACAAAACACCAGAAAGCCACATGATCCTCAGTAATGACAGTAATTATGGGAGACAGTAGGTCACTCATGCCCTGACAGTACCCAATTTCAGGATCATAAAGCACGTAGGCTTCAAGAATGGCAGTTAGTCTTGCAGCATGCCAAATCCGGCAAGGCTCCAGATGATCATAATCTTTTAGCCCAACAGCCTCAGCCAAATGCTGTGCCTTAGCATCTGATACTGCAGCCTGAATTGGAGAATATGGTATCCATTCAGAATTGGCACGCACAGCATCAAGGCAAATAATCCGCTGCCAAATGGCAAAATCTTCTGTTGTGAGTGGTTTTGACTGGACTTCTGCAGTTGATGGAGAAACATTCTCTTTCTTATGCATGCCAGAATCTTTCTTCTCCCCAGGTTCTGAAGAAGAGGAACCCTGAATCAATACAGGGTCATCTGAGGAGTCTGAGTCAGATGACTCACTTTTTAGTGCAGATACATCAGCAATAGAATTTCTCCTTGAACTATCATCTCCTCCTTCCAACAATTCACTGCATGGTTCATCAGAATATTCAGCATACAGGCTTCTCTCCTCATCAGAAAGAAATTCCTTGGCACTAACTACATCTTCAGAGCTACACACATCTTTCTCTTGAAATAGACTTCCACTGTCTCCAGTTTGGCCAGTCCCATCAGTATCATTTAACTTAAAACTTCCATTACTTTGCTTTTGGAGCTTCCAGCACTGTCTGCGAAGTTTCTCATATTCCATTCTGCATCCAAAGTTTGACATAGAGATCAATGAAGCAAAAGAGTAAAGGTAATCATGGGAACAATAAACTTATATAACTAAAAGGAGTAATAAATGAATGGAATGGGCATGAGAAGAATACTTTTTCTCAGCACTAACAACCTCCCTTTCTTCTTTAGAACTGTTCAGATCATAGCTGTAGGAAAGAAAAAAAATAACTCATGATTCAAGATCCAAAATCTACAATTTGATGGTAGATTACAGGTTTACATAATGCATATACCAAACATATATTCCTTTAGGGGATGTTAAAAACCAAATCATTATATCATGGCTTGGGGAAGGAGAATATGATTCAAGTCCTTAACCAAGTATGCTGAGGACAAAAAACCTAATTATACGTATAGGATATAAGATCTGCAAAGTTCAATAACAGAATTATAAGATCAATTTCAAAGATAGACAGTAACAATTATAAAACTCAATTTAGTATACTTACACTCCAAGGAGAAATGGCCAGACCTCAGCCCTAATACTTGGATCAACACCCTACAAAACGGATATAAAGTTTTTTATTTTTTATTTTTTGGCCAGAAAACAGATCTAAAGTTTATGCATCTCAATAATAATAAAAATAAAAGAGGCTGACAATGTTAGCCTACTCACACTACTGCGAACTTTCTTCAGCAACTTGATTCCATCACCACAGAGCCTGCCATCAGGTGTAAACAAACTTCTCCATTGCTGAGGTGTGAGGGCATTTCTCCTTCTCCGATGAGACCAGGGTGATTTCAGCCGACCACTAAAACGAGAACAAGAGATTGTCAAAATAAGAATAATAAAATGGCAAGCCACTGATGGTACAACAACAGCATCTGACAAAAAAAATGTGAAGGAAATTAAAAACAAACATACAGAAACAAATGCATTAAAAAATTAAGCATTACATCTTCCTTACTATCAGTGGAAAACTTGTTAAAAGCATGATGAATTCAGTTAAATTAATTCTACAATCATAGCACGAGTAAGGTTGAACATGAATTGAAACATGCAATAGCAGATACCCTAGAGCACCAGTGGCACAACAGTAAAGAAAGAAAATGGACTTCAGTATTAATAACAACTTCCAAGATGTAAACAATTCCAACTTCACTGCAAACGGAAGAGGGACTATTTAGGCAGTCATCTCGGTAATAGTTAGATGTCTATTTGTCTTCTATCCTAGGCAAGTTTACTGCAGAGACATATCTCATTAACATAGAATCCCAGCTTAGAATGATGAACATTCAAATAGGATGAGAGCAGTGTTTCAATTTTTATTTCTTACTCAAGCTTCTTAAATGTTCAAACTACTAGATGCTACATTTAGGTTGAAGGCCAAATCATGAATCACAAATTAAACATGAATCTTTTTCAACGCCCCATGATGTACCAGTTTTTTTTTTTTTCAAATAAGTAAGAACATGGAACTGATATGATCATACATACAAAAACTTTTAACACTTCAACAATAATATGGTCTCTAGCAGTTAGAAATTATCTAGCAGAGCAATACTTTTAACGTTAGTGACATACTCTGCAATATTCCAATTCAGAAATTATTGAGTCCCAACCAAAAAGAAGAAGATGATGAGTTTGTCTTGTGATTCAGAACTTTCGAAATAATGTTAAATTGGAAACAAAATGATTTATGAATTAGCAGAGATGCAAAAGGAAGATTATGGTGATTGAAGCCACTAATTGAGCTCTAATTGCGAGAAAAAGGAAAAAAACAGGGAATGATTATGGCGAAAAATCAAGATAGAGGAAGAAACTGGAATCCAGGACCCTAAATCCCAAAAAAATCAACTTATTAGTAGGAAAAGAATCTGAAATGAAAGAAAATGGGAAAAAAAAAAATTCCAACGGTGTGAAGGGAGATCAGGATCTTAATTAAAAAAAAAAAGAAGGAAGATCATGTATCAAAGGAAGAGTGTTTAGGAAGAAAGTAGAAGAGAGACTCACCGATCGGAAGAAGAACGGGAAGCTGGTGAAGAAGAAGTAACGACGAATAGAACCGAACGTAAATGATTCCACGACAACGATGACGATGACGGTGATTTTGGCGAATACAATGAAGTGTTAATTCGTCGAAGAGCTCTCATCTATAGATTATCTACTTACTCTCACGACGAATCTCTATCTTTACTAGGGTTCCGGCAGTAATTCTACTCATTTACAAATGATCGAGTTCGATCGGAAGGATTTACCTAGCTGTAGTGTAGTAGATGGCAGCGAAGAGGGCGAGACCAGCGACTGCAGTAAAGGCCAAAGCAGCTTTGGAATGCGGTGGCGCCACTGCCGACCAGAAACCGCTGCCTCCGCCCCCACTGAAAGGGTACATTCCGGTGGAACTGCTTCCCAAGGCAGTCATGGAAGAGAACAGAGTCGTCTAACGAAATGACGGAAACGCTCTCACCTCAACTTCTTCTTCTTCATCTACGAATCTTCCGTCGGCCGATTGTGTCCACGGTGGCGGTCGCCTTCGCCGGTGGAATAAAGGATTAGCTAACCGAAAGCCAACCGCTTTCCATTTTTTTGGGGTTTTTTATTTGGTAGGGCTTTTACTTTTGTGAGTAGCCCTCTGTGTAGGGTTTTCTTTTTCTTGAAAATGTGTTCGCCAAGTTTATAGGCTCGGATGATTCAAAAGTTAGTTAAAGGGCTTAGTTGAACAAAATAATTAGTTAACAAACAACTTTAATTGGCCATTTATCACCTCTATTTTTTCTTTTTTTTTTATTAAAGTGAAATTTATTAAAAAGATATTATATAATTTAAATTATACTAAATTATAAAATAAAAATTATTAAATTAAAAACAACCCCAATTTTTTTTTTTTTAACATTGGAATAGAACTCATATAAGAAGATTTTTATAAAGAGTTAGTAATTATTAAATCATAAGATTTCGTTCTCAACAATTTTAATTATTTAAAATCTTAATTGAGTAGTTCAATAATTAAAAACTTGAAATTTTAAGTTGAAAATCTCACATTCAATTCTTGAACTGAACAGAAAAGAATTTTAAATAAAAAAAAAATATTATCTCTCTTATATAATCTATTCAAATCTATCAAAAAAACATTCTTAATTATTTAAAGGGAAAAAAAACAATAAAATGAAATTTGTTTATTAACGGAAAGACATACGGCATCATCGCTTTCATCAATTGGTATTTTTAAAGAATATCGAATCAATTAACTTAAAAATCAGGAAAACACCGAGCTGACAAGTTCACATGGTATAATATAGATGTAATGTAAAAGCAGAAGATCCTTCTCTTCTTTCTTCGCATACATGCGTAATCCAATAAAAATAAAATTTTATTTTATTTGTCAAAACCAAATAGTATTGGTTTATTATGAATGGGATTACATCTTTTCATGTCAACCTCCTCTTTCTGTTTGATTCTTTTTCTATCTAATTAAATACTCAGAAATTCTAGTATATGCTTTTATTGACTCCTTTATGTTAATCTACAGTTTTCGATTGTGAAACGGAAAAACCGCAATTTCATTGGAGGATTTTCAGATTGACTAAACCTTTTCTTTGGTGTATTTTAAAATTTTGACCATTAACTTCTACATTTTTATAAATTTTATTAAATAAAATAAAATTATTTTTAAAGTATTGATAAATATATATA